TTTTAAAGGTTGAGAGTTTTACTATTTTTAATTTAATTAAAATGCAATGTTTCAAATTTGCTGCAAACCATTTAAAAAATTTTTTTTTCAGAAATAACCTCAAAGAGAAAAATCAATGTCAAAATATTTGAGTATTTTGAAATGGAAAAGTATGAGTCAAATTTCATGGTGTCTCTGCTTTTTAAACAAAATACCTATAATTATAATCCTCTTGATTCCAGTTTTGGAAAACATTTATTCTTTTTTAGAGGTAAGTGTAAGGTAGTGTTCACAACCAAAAGTCACTACAATATACCTCACAACAAAAAAGTAGCACTCCTTTAAGACACCATGAGGTTCATCATTCTCCATCTGTTCTTTTTCTCTTGGAAGTTTATCATGTCACTGAGAGAACACATCTGCTGTTTCCTGTTTCTTTTCAGTTTTGACAGTCTATGAGTAAGGTGACTGGACACCAGAGAAAGAAGACAAATGTTTGACTACAACGTCTGATTTTTTTGAGTTCCTTTCATTTCATATTTTTGGGGCACTTATTCTAATTAGGGTTCAATAGGCAATAATTAAATAATTGCTGCACATTTCAACACTGTTCATATAATGATGGGCTACCAAGAAAAGTCATATCTTCAAGAGACTGTCACTCTAGCAACTCTGTCCAGAACTTTCTGAGGTGATGGAAATGTTCTCTATCTTTGCTGAGCAGTGCAATAGCCACCAGCCACAGGCGGCCACTGAACATTTGAAAGATGCCTAATGTGACTGATGAGCTAAATTTTGGAAGTTAATTAATTAAACTCAAATCACCAAATATGACTAGTGACTACCCTACTGGACAGTGTAGCTGTAGAGAATCAATGAAATTTTTATTTTTGAAATTTTTTAAAATTTTTAAAATTTTTAAAATGCTTCAGGAGTAGGAGGTATTAAACTGTTTTTTTTCCCTCTAAATTATTGGCTCCTTAATGATCAAAGTAGAATATAGATGTTTACATTTTTAAAATTGTTTGATGAAAAATTTCTTTAGTGCCTAGAACATAAAAAGTCAATAAACGACTGGATGGTATTAATAGGTTCTCCCTCACCTCTGCTCCAGGTCTCCAGTTCTCCCCAACTCATACATCTTGCTTTTAAGGTCACTTAAACAATTTTGCCCTAAGATTGCCGGACCCATAGATCCATAGTTCACAGCTCTCCTAGTCTTTCCGGGAGTTAAGAGCTAGAGGTGGTATTTCTCTTACGGTGTGCGCTTGCTGTATACGTCTATGCTCAGCAACCCCTCCAGTCGTACCTATGGTTTCCAGATTTCCAGCTTTTCCTTCACTCTGCTCCAAGAATCGGCTCCTCATCCCACAAGCTCACCTCGGGCGTTTAATGTCTGTGGCCATCTGGACTGCTCCGCAGCATACTGATCTGACCTTGTTTAGGACCCAGTGTTCAGCTATGGCTCCTAAAATGGGCATCGCCAAACGACCGTGTGATTGACTCTAGGGATCAGAATCATGCCACATGACACAACTGAAGGGACTGAGAAGGTATCACTTAGAGAATGTTATAATACAGATACTATTTATAAAACATACATGTATATTATGCTAGGCACTGGACGAAATGCTTTTATCATTTAATCTTCATAGCAACCGCATATTCTGTTTTTACACATTTTAGATGTTTGCTAGGCTCAGAGAGATGAAGTGACTTTCCCAAGGTGAAAATATTAGGAAGTGGCAGAGCTATGATTCCTATTTACAGTCTTTGGTTCTGAAGCTTGCAGTTTTAACCACAACATAATTCATGATAGGACAGAGAGAGTTCTTTAAAACCAGTGCAGAGGGCACATCTTAAAGGAACTGGATTTTAGTTGACTATAAAAAAAGAAGGGTTTCTAACAATTCAAGCTCTGCACCACCGCCTCCCTCTGTGAAGTGCACTGTGCCCCTCATTATCTCATCAGCAGCTCAGGAGCCAAGGACTAATGCTGGCTGATCGGAAACACTGTAAAAGGTATTCTGGAATAAGGGGGAATCACAAGTGGTAGATGAGCCCGCTAGGCCTTTACAATTCAAATTTCTTCTCTTCTGAATGTAATTTTCTTTCTTCAGGATATTTATTGCCAATTTACTCCCATATGGCTATTCTTTTATTTTTTATGCAATTCATAGACCATTCTTTTTCCATGTAAAACCAGAATGTAATTTATTCATTATTCAAATTGGCATAAGCAGGTTATGCTCTCCCTGTACGCAAGCCTGTATAGGAATCTATATCACATTTCATAGGGGAATAAAGTATTGCCTGGATCATGGAACCTCAAAGAGGATTGCAAAAAAGTATTTGTAAGCATTTGGCAGACTTCGTTTAATTTTGTTACATATTAGTGATCAGAGAAATAACAGGCAGGAGAGGCAGAATAGAATACCATTAGATTTCAAGTTATATAATGATCCCTTAAATAACTGAGAGTATGCTATTATCACTTTAATATACCCCTTAGAATTATACTATGCCCCTTAATTATTTCTGATATGCTTCACATATGCCAGGTGAGGAGTAGCATTTTTTTTACAAGTGCATTTTCTTTATTTAAGGGAAAATGCCCTGAATATCCTGAAGTCTGAGTTTTGATATTTGTATTTTCAAAAAGCGTGTTGAGTTTCTCTGATGAGAATATAAGCTCTGTTGGGTTTATTACTGAGGATAACATTATGGGAAACTATAGGATTAGAAAACTTTAAAAAAAATCGTTTGAGAACATTTGGGATTTTCTTTGGGAAAGAGTAATCAATATGTGTTCTCTTTTAAAAGTTGATCTGCCCATCCTATAGCCATCCTCAGCTAGTCCTGACTGTGGCATCCCTTCCATCCCCAACTCACAAGGCTCGTGCCAGTGATTGGAAAAGTGTGCATACACTCTCAAGAGGGCCTAACAGCTACAGATGCTTCCATGGAAATAGTTCTAAATTGTGGTTGTGGAGAAAGTTTATATTCTTTTTATATTCTTGAAATGATTATCATGCATCATAGGCTTTAGAGGAGAAATACTCCATAGGAGATGATGCGGCATATAGGAAGTCAAAACTGGGCTAGAGAGAACTGAAAGGAGTTAGTGATAGGAGCAGGTGAAATCTGTATTTCAGAGAACTTGCCGGGGGGGGGGGGGGGGGCACGGATTAAGGAAGTGAAACAAGCTGGGGTTTCTACCCTGGGAGTAGAGAAGGAAGGTTCCACTTGAATTATGGGTCTTGAAGAATTCAGGGCTGGGTAAGGAATGTAAGCAGGAAATAGTGTTTGGGGAATGCTGAATGGTCTGGTTTGCAGCGAGTGCAACAAGGAGAGAAAGCAAAGTTAACAAATAAAAGCAAGTCTGGGGTTCTAATGTGAAGACCCTTACGTTTCAGAATGAGTAGTTTGTAATCAGCCTGTGTGGGGATGGGATTCTATCTCTTGTCCTCTAAGGACGCTGGTATTTTTCATGAACTCTTCCACATACTTCTGTCCTGTCTCTCCCCTACAGGGCAAGATCCCTGATCAATTTGTTTGGACTTGTAGTGCTAATGCTAAACAGATCCTATATTTATTTAATATGTTGATTATTGGACTGTATATAAATCACAGTGACCAAATAGCTCCCTTTATATGTCCCGATATATATTTATGGTATCATTATGCAATATATATTAGAAAAAAATGCTGTATGCATTATATACGTTAGTGTGTATATGATTTTTGAGTTGTTTTAAGAGTACATTTTCTTATAGCAGATTTTAAAAATACCTACTTTCTAGATAATTTCAGTTAGAGCAGATAATTAACATGTGGCCAAATCCAGACGTCCTTTTCAAGTACCAACTCAGCCACAGAAACTTGGAACTGCATGGCCCTCAGCAATCATTTCCCTTTCTTCCTTCCCCTTTATTTTACAGATGAAAAAACCAGGCTCAGTGCGAAGTCACACACCACCAGTTCCTGGCAATGCCAGGGCTAAACTCAGTTTTCTGCTATCTTTCTACCACACAATCCTTCTTACCTGAAATAAGTGACCAATAAATGCAAATCATTTAAAGGCCAATACACATTTACAATTTAAATATTCATAGGACACATCAAAATGTTCTGCCATTCGGATAACAGTAGTCATACTTTTAGTTGTTACATTAGCACATGTGCGAAGTTTCTAACAAATCAGTTAACTTATTAAAAGTGGTCCTCCATAATTTTTTCTAACACAACCTGTGGCAGGAATAGAAACAATAGAAGGCCACTTCACAATGAGAACATTTTCTCTCCAGCATATGGCCATTTTTTCTTAATTTATAACCCAGCTTCTAACAATTCAGTCACTGGACCATCTTGGAGAAGCATGGCCCTAGCACTTGAAGGTCCATAAGTAGTCCTACATTATATGTTGACAGATCTTATGTTTGGGGTATTTCCCAAGCTAAAATACAATTAACCCACTAACAATTACAGCAAGCACCAGGGCTCTGCTGCATGCCTACTATTTCCACACTTGCTACTCTGGGACCTTCCCTGGGGAAGGGGCTTGTCTGATTTCTCTCCATAAACCCAAGCACATGTTCTATGCTCAAGGATGGAGGAAATGTTGACACAATTCGAGCAATCGAGGGATTTCTGGAAAAGCAGCATGCCCGAAAAGTGAGTTTTCTAGATTCTAACCTTTGTTAAATTATTTTGAGTCCAAGGTAAATTTTGCCCCTCCACTGAACTCCAGAAGTATCCCTCCCACGGCCACTGAAAACACCTTAGAAAGATGATGAAGTGTAAACGAGGCCACGGAGTAGCTGCTTTTAATTTGGGAGCCCTCACTGTTGTATGTCCTTGTTTTCCAGCTGACTCCTGCCAGCGTCCAGCCCCCATACTGCCCAGTGAAGACTTCAGCCTGAGAAGCTGGAAGGCGCGGAACTGAAAAGCCTCGGAACCCGAGGCCAGAGAACGGGGCAGCCGGAGGGAGGAGAACCTGAGGGACCGGCAGGCCTAGTTTCGAGGAGGTGGCGGCGGCGGCGTGGAGAATGGAACCGCTGCGGGTTCTTGAGCTGTACAGTGGCATTGGGGGCATGCACGAGGCGCTAAGAGGTGAGAGTTACAGAGCGCCCGTGTCTTTAGTCCCATGTCGGCAGTTCTTGGAGCTCAGGTTCCAGGGAGGGGCGGAGCAACGAGACGGCAGGGGGCGGAGACCACGGAAGAGGGTTGTCCTGGAAACTGCCCCAGCGGGCCACCCTCTGCAGTTGCTCCTGGCCGGGACTCCCTCCTTCCCATCCTGAACCTTGTTCCCTAGGGCAGTTGCGGCACCTTACGGGACTTCATTTGTGAGTCCTGGTCCACAAGGCTAGGCTATAAAGACAACTAAAATGATACCCACAGAGTGGGAGGAGGGAAGTCACAGAGAGACGTGGCCAGTCGGTCCTGCCCCTCGAGGAAGTCACGGTGAGGGAGGGGAGGTCACTGAGCAGGTCCTGTCTGGTGACTCATGGCTCATCAAAGGGATAATTACAAGGTAGAAGTTAGTGAACACCAAGAACTGTAGGGGAAGCCTAAAGGGATAATCTGGTCACTTCTGATCAGCGAAAAGACTTGGTACATCGTGCCTAGATACATTTAGGTGTGAGAAGAGTTGAGTTCAAACTTAGTTCTTGCAGTGTGACCTTGGGCTAGTTCCTTAACATTTTTGAACCAGTGTCCTGGTTTTAAAATGTGAAAAGTAATTCTTTCAGCGAAGGAGTCTTATGAGGAGGGAAGACAAGGCACATGAAGTGTTTAATAATGGCTGGTGCATTGTAGCCAATCAAAATATTTTAATTCGCTATTATTACTATTGCTTTTATGTACCTCTTCCGTTTTGATGTTTTAAATTTTTTTGGTGCTAAGTTGGAACTGAAAAGTTTTGTTTTGTTTTGTTTTTTGTTTTTTGTGATATTCACTTAGAAATAAGGATTGAACAACGTCCTGTTTTGTGCCAGGTGCTATGTAGGCATTGGAAATATTGTGACAAATAGATTTTGAATGTGAATTTTATACTTAAATTACTATAACTACCACAAAACTGAAACTTCCCTGCTTTCTGATTTAGTACCTAGGATAACAAGGGATTGATACCATAAGATACAGACAATACATAATGAGTTGAGCATGTAAGTTTTCTGAGAATATCTATTGAGTTTTGACTCTAGACTATTGTTAAATTTTTATTACCAATTACTTGCTAGCTCTCTATGTTCAGTTGTCATAATTTTCTCGAATGAAAAGTCTAGTACTATTTGCTTCTTTAGTTAATTTTACAAGATTGTATAATGTCAGCCTTTTCCTCATATTGTAAACAATTATTTTAAATGTTGCTTAGTAGTTTACCTCAAGCTATAATTCAGCCACTCCTGAAATGTTGAATATTAAATAATTCCCCGGATTTTTTTTTTGCAAGTATAAATGTGCTACAGTTAAATCCTTGAGCACAAATCCTAATATTCTCTTCAAGTATGTTTTCTAGAAGTCAAATTAATTTGAACAACAATAAAAGACTGACTATGTACCAGTTACTAAGTCAAAATTATTAGTATGCGTGCCTCCCTCAACTCCATAGTCATCGGAATTTTTATTATACATTTTTGACTTTTGCTAATTTGATAGGGGCAATTGTATAATTTTAATTTGAATTTTTTGTTAATTAAACACTTAAATATTTTCTCTCCTATCAGTCAATGCAACCTGAAGTTGTACGCATATTTATTTCTATTACCACTGCCACCATCCTGAATCTAACCTAAACCATCTCCTATTTAAAATATTAAAATAGTCTCCCAGCTCTTCCCCTGCTTCCACTCTGCTTTCTGACTCCATCCTTTCTCCACATAACAACAGAATGCTCTTTTGCACAGTAAACTGGATCATGTCACTTTTCTTGCTTAACTGGCTTCCATTTGAGGTTAGGATCACAGTCTCATCTTCTTGCTAGGCCTCTGAGGTGTGACTTCTGTCTGCCTCTTATCTGCCACTCTTCCCCTGGTTCTCTTTCTCAGGCTCCCTGGTCTTCTTTCTCTATTCCTCAAACCTTCCATGTTCCTCCACATCCTGGCCCTTGCTCTAGCCTCCACCCAGAGTGCTCTAACCCCAGACTTCTCCAAAGCAAATGCATTTCATTTTTCATGTCTTGGCTCATATGTGGCCTCTTCAGAGTTGCCTTCCTTGGATGACCCTGTGATCCACAGAGGCTTCCTGCTGCTTCCTGAATGAATTAAGCTTGTATAATCTGAGGTTATTTGAATATTTCAGCTATGTTTTCATCATCTACAGTGAAAATGGCCACACATCTAATTTTGGATATTTTCATGGGAAATATGATGGAGGGTGACTTTTATTCTAGGTGTCTTATATTTGGGTGCATACATACAGTGTATGTGTATGTGTGTGTGTAGGTAAATGAGTATGGACTTGGAAAAAGGTTGGGAAGTATGTACATTGTCTTGTTACTAGTATTAGCTCCCGGGGAGTAGATTAAAGATGATAGTCTCCTTGCTAATGGTAAACACACCAAGAACATCCCTGCTTTAGCACCATTGCACTTGCTGTTCCCTCTTGTCTGGAGTGCTGTCCCCTATAGTCACATGACTATTCCCTTGTCTTTAATGTCATCTTCTTAGGGCTTCCCTGATCACTGTCGAATTGCAGCCTCTGCTCATTTTCCCTACTCCCCTTACTGTTTTATTTTCCTCTTAGCCCTAATTGCTGCCTATAATACTATATATATTTTACTTGTTTTTAATTGACTGCCTACCCTTCTAAAATGTAAGCTTCATGAAGTTGGAGATATTTTTGCTTGGGGTTTTAATTTGTTTTGTGTGGGGGTTTTTTAATTTTCTATTTTGTTCATTGTTGTATTCTTGGCACCTAGAATAGTGCTTTTTCCATAGTGGATACTCAGTAAATATTTGTTGAATGAGTGAATAAGTGGTAGAGTATGAGCCTTTTAAAAGTTGATGATATTGTCAACTTACATTTTAAAGGGCTATATCTAATAAACTATGATCATAAATATGCTAATATATTTAAAACTACATAATTTACTAAGTGATATTTTAATTTTTTGAATAGTAGTCAAGTTGAATATTTTAAAAGTAACATTTTACATTTATATTCTTTTTGTTTTTAACTATATGATCCAAATAAATTATAGCTTTCTGTTTTTATTTAGAATATTTCGAATTTTATTCTTGCCATTAAATATATTCCAACACTTGGGTTTTAATGGCTGTGTAATATTCCATTTTATGGAAGTTCCTTAATTGTTCAAAGCAATTACCTATTTTTGGATATTTAGATTGCTTACAAGTTTTTACTATTATAAATAAAATAGCATGTATCCTTTATATAAATGTTTTTCTCCACATCTCTATAATTGCTGTATACATTAGTTTCCTATTGTTGCTGTAATGAATTACCACAAAATTAATGGCTTAAAGCAACATAAATTATTATCTTACAGTTCTGGAGGTGTTGCCAGGGCTGTGTTCCCTCTGGAGGCTGTAGGGAAGGATCCATTTCCTTGCCTTTTCCAGTTTCTAGGGGACACCTGTATTTCTAGAATACTCATTTCACAAGGGAAGCCCGTACCAAAAGGGGTCCGTCCTCTAGAAAATAATTCCGGTATTTTTGGGTCCCTCATCACACAAGCCCAGGAAGCATAGAGAGTCCCAAACAAGATGAACCCAAAGAGGCCCACACAAAGACACATTATAATTAAAATGAAAAAGCTTAAAGACAAAGAGAGAATCTTAAAAGCAGCAAAAGAAAAGCAGCTAATTACTTACAAAGGAGCTCCTATAAGACTGTTAGCTGGTTTCTCAAAAGAAACTTTGCAGGCCAGAAGAGAGTGGCAAGAAATATTCAATGTGATGAAAAGCAAGAACCTACAAACAAAATTACTCTACCCAGCAAAGTTATTATTTAGAATGGAAGGGCAGATATTGAGCTTCCCAGATAAGAAGAAGCTAAATGACTCATCACCACCAAACCAGTATTACATGAAATGTTGAAGGGTCTTCTTTAAGAGGAAGAAGAAGAAAGAAAAAGATCAAGAGTATGAACAATAAAATGGCAGTAAATACATATCTTTCAATAACTGAACCTGAAAAACAAAATAAAGGAACAAGCAGAACAGAAACAGATTCATAGATACAGAGAACTTTTTGACAGTTGCCAGATTCTGTCCATGATATTTACTTTACTTTTGTTATTTCTCAGGGTCACAAGCAAGAGAAATATTGAATTCTTTTGTTCTAAAATTTAAAAAATTGTTTGCCTTCTACTGATTATAAAAGTACGATATTTTTACTGTACAGAAAGAAAAACCCAAATAATTCAAACTACTTTAAGGAAAGAAGTTAGAGCTACCTCCAAATTCCACCTCTACCACCCAGAGAGCACCTATTGACATTTGCTGTTTTTCTTTTTTTCTCAATGTGCGTATATACATATACATATACCCGTCACAAAACTTGGTTCGTTACGCCACAGGATATTTAGTAACTTGCCTTTTGTACTTAAAGATGTGTAATCACTTCATGTCAATATATATGGTTGTCATTTTCAACATGTCTATTCTCATAAGTGTGTGGTCTTAACAGTCACACCTTTACTTACGTGTCCAAATATTTCCTTAGAATAAATTGTTAGAAGTAGAAGAATAAGGTCTAACAATAGAAGGATCGAATCAATGAGGAAGGGTACATATTCTTAAATAGTTGCTATCACTAGACAGTGTTCATCTTATAAAATCTGTGCTAGTCTGATAGTTAAAACTGATTAATGTGGATTTTTGTAACTGTAAGAGAGGTTCAGTATCCTTTTATATGTTAACTGATCATTTTAAAATCTTTATTTTTGAGTTGTCTGTAGTTAAAGTGTCTAATTGTTTTTACTTTCAGAACTTGAATTTTATAAGAATTGGTAAGACTATACAACTAAAAATATTACGTGCTTTTTAAAAGACATTGGAGATAACAGGTTACAGAGTTTCCTAATAATTGTTTTATGTAGAATATGTATATAGGCTTAGGTAATTGCGTAGCTCCATAATGAAGCCC